CTCGCGTCCCGCCGCCGCCCTGAGCTGGCCGGAGGAGAAGGGCCCGCGGCCGCTCTTCGAGGAGCCGGGGGAGCCGGCGCCCAAGGGCCTGAAGCGGAAGGAGGAGCGGGAGCGCTCGCCGCGGCGGGCGGCGGCGGGCGGGCGCGCGGCGGTGGCGCCACCGGAGAAGCGGGCGGTGCTGCTGAGCCGTCCCCGCGGCGGGGCCCTCTTCGGCCGCACGCTGCAGGAGGTGCTGCGCAGCCAGGGCCGCGGGCACCGCGACCGCGGGGAGGCCGTCGAGGCCGAGCGGGGACCCGCCGAGGAGACGCCGCCGGCCGAGCCCCCCCGGGAAGGTAGGCTGGGGCGACGGAGCACCCGCGACACCCCGCCCGCCCGGTGTCGGCCCGCTCTCTGAGGCGGCCGCCTTCCCCTCTTTACAGATGCCGCCCCTGCGGCCGCCGCCCGCCGGTCCCAGAGCAGCGAGGGCGCGGAGGGGCTGGGGGGCATGTCGCCGGGCGAGCTGACCGCCATCCAGTGCAAGAATGTCCCCGATTACCTCAACGACAGGACGGTGCTGGAGAAGCACTTCGGCCAGTTCGTCAAGGTTCGACGCATCATGACCAGGCGCAATAAAAAAATGGCTATTCTCCACTTCTTTGATCATGTGAGTGTCGGAAGCGGTGGGCACAAAGGCAGGCTCAAACCTGGGTGCTTGGGGTAGGTCCAGCTCTAGTGAGAGCTGCGCCCGTGTTTGGTGACACAGGATGCCCTTCCTCCAGGGGAAGGCTTTGTATCGTGAGCGTGTGTTACAGACAGGGATGGGAGCATGCTGAGCTGCACCCCAATGCGATAGCTGCTGGAGCTTTGCCTGCCCTTAGCTGTCCCGATAGCATAGGATTTAAACGTGAAACAAATCTTCCCTGTTTATTGTCTCGTGTCACCCCAACCTGAACTCCACGTGCTGATGCGTTCCTGCTTAGGCTTGGCACCACTAAGGGCGAGGTGAGCTTTTGTGGGGTGACCTGCTCGCTAGAAATACTGCCGTTACGTCAGCACTGAGATATTTGGAGATGGCAGTTTGGACACTGCGTGTTCTGATTCTGCTTTGTGCTTAAAAACACACCTTCTGACTCAAGTCCTATAAGCTGGCTATAGCAAAAAGCAACAATTTTTATTGAAACCAGCACAGTCCTGTTGGTTGTGTGTAGGTCTTAAGTGAGAGATTACAATGCAGTAACCAGAATTTTATGTAAATTGGTAAATGTTTCTCTGGTAAAAGCTGCACCGCGTGCTTTGGTGTTGTGAGGCTAACAGGTTTTCATACTCTGCTTTTGTTTTCTTTCAGGCCTCTGCAGCTCTTGCCAGAAAAAAAGCGAAATTACTGCATAAAGATATAGTAACATTTTGGCAAAAGAAGAAAACAAGTAAGTTTTGTGTTTCCAGATACAACTACTGCGTGATACATAAATGGCTTGGCGTCTGCTCTGTTCTTGTTTCCCAATGTGCTGAGAGCAACACGAAGGTGATCTCCACAGTGGGAATGTTACAGTTCTAGAAGTATGATGGTTCTCTTTGACTCTTGATAATCAGACTGTGCTCTGTGCACCACTTCTGGGGGCACTGAAGGTTATTCTTTACAGGAGCATAAAAATAGTTCTACGTTCTGCTTGACATCCTGGCTAGCTCTGTCTGGCAAAGGCTAATAATGAATATGCAGAGGAGGGTGAAAAAAAGAACAAGATGAAGCATGTAATGGCTTCTAGAATAATTTCTCAGCCTTTAACTGCCTGTGACTCGGGAACCATGGGAGCCAGAAGGGGTATATTAGCCCTTGGATATTTCTTCTCTTCTGAAGTTAGCCAGTTGCTTTTGTAAGCTGAGTAAACTTCCAGCATCCACAGTATTCTCTGTACAGTATTCGCAGTATCCTCTGGTACTGAGGAAATTCTAAGTGAGCAGCTGCAAATCGCACTTGGAGATTGCGCTATTCCTTTTCTTAAATTCCTGTTGTCTAAAGCATTTTGCTTCATCTGTTAATGCTGTTTCAGCTATACAAAGGAGCTGAAGACAGTTGAAATGACAGTGTAGATTTACAAGAGAATTTAGAAACCATCTGTGGTCCTATCTAACAGTAGGATGTTCTTTGGGGGTGTTAAAAAACCCGGTTTCAAATGCCTCACTACCTGCTTCAGAGCATGGGCTGGGATGTGGGCTTCCAGCTTTCAGGAAAGCTTCCTGAGAAGTTAAGGAGTACTCTGGAGTGAGTGTCTGGGTTGCTGAGATTGCTGTTCTGCGTTTCTGTTTCCATTTCTTTAGCTTTATGAATGCTGGCTTGTGTATTTTCAAGATCCTAGCCTGGGGATACACTTCAGCTGTCAGCAAATGAATGCTTCATTACAGCTTTGACCAACCACAAACTTGCCTTCTAGAAAATGAACAGTTGCAGAGAGGTCTTCCTGAGAATTAAGATCCTGAAGCAACAGCTGTAGGGGTGCCTGTTCACCTTTGCCATTTTATTGTGCTGTTAAGTCTATAGAAACGTGAATAGCAGTATTCTAAAATAACTAATCTGAAAGAATTTAAGAAATCAAACTGGTTGAAATTTTGTTCCTGCAGGGTGTAGATGAGAAGGCATGCTAACCTCAGTCTAAGCTTGGGTATGTGAAATAAATAATTAAAATGCTTTAGCAAGAGCACTGGGAAATCTGGTTTACATAGATGAAATGGTTTTCATATCCTGTACAGAGAGATGACTTGTGGATTGTATCCCAAACCTGAGAGAACTGAAATTTGGATGATGATTAGACTTCATTTACTGACAATCTGCTGACAAATTATAGTTATTGCAAAGGGATATTTTGTTGAAAAATACTCTATAGAACAGTGAAGCTGACTAGCAACTGGTAGACTTACTTGGTGCAGCTTCTAGTGCAAGTTGTTCTGGAAGTTTTGCATTCATGTACAAACTGTGACTCTTATTTTCTAATAGTATTTTTTTTTAAACAAACTGCTCACCACCAGCCCCGTGGTGAAAAAAGAGTTGTTGCTTAAACTATTTGGTAAGTACCTGGCTTTGTATTTATATGTCACTTCAGGTCCAGCAAAAAGAGAATTTTCATCCAAGGAGAAGAAAGCAGGTGAAGATGAAGGAAGGCAAAGCAGTGAAGAGATAAACTATCAGCATTCCCCTCTTCGAAAACCCTTAATGAGATCCTCTGCCGGCAGTGTTGCGCCTGGTAAAAGGTATGTCTGCTTCTCTGGGAATCCATCAGGTAGGAAACAGGGGGCTTGGGGAAAAAGGATGATCAGCGTGTGCCAAATAGTCGTGATCTTATCAGAGAGTGTGCTTCCCTCATCTCTTCTGGAGTGTGTGCATTACAGGCTCACAGATCTCACACTTTGTTGGAAGATACTTCTAACTACTCATTAAGGCCTTTTACTTTGGTCTGTGTATTTCTTTTGCGTATGGTGTTCATAACAACGTGAGTAACAACACCTGAAATAGTGAGGCATTAACTTCCAGTGCTAGATTTAGCTCAGAACCTTAGTACGTTGATACACTTCGTTTATTTGATATGTTGCCTTGTGAACAAAATATTCTTTTCTAAACAAGAGACATTGGCATCCTACAGAGCAGTGAACTGATTAAAGCCGGGACATGCATTAGTTTATTATTGATAAAGAAAAAAAATCTTCTATTTTTAGTTCTCCAGCAAAGAAGCCTGGTCTTCGAAAGGCACTGCAGTTTGAAGCAGATCTGTTTGATTCTGGTGCTGAAGGGCAGAGCTCAGAGGCCTTGGGAACTTCATTGTCGTCTCTTGGTAACCTGGTGGGATTAGTGGCTGAGACATCTGAAGAAAGATACCGGCTTTTGGACCAAAGGGACAAAATCATGCGACAAGGTTATTTCACAAATTAATGAGTGTAACACCTGCTTCTCTGCTGGGAAGAAATAAGTGTTTGGAGTTTGTTGCAAAGCTGTGAAAATATTACAGAAATGGCTTTAAAGAGAGAGTTTAACATGGCCCAGTCTGTAAAATACTCTTTTATTGTACATATATATATATTAATTTCTTGCAGAACATGCAGCATGGCCCAGTCTGTAAAATACTCTTCTATTGTACATATATATATTAATTTCTTGCAGAACATGCAAAAAACTGTTTTACTTATTACTTATATTTCTTGTGAAAAGTGAGTAGCAGACTGTTCATCCTCTGTGAAGGAGCCATGTTGGGAGATTTGCATCCCTGCATGCTCTTTGAAGAAAGCTATTTGTGTTTGTTTCACTAAATTCAAACTGCTTCACAGCTGGTAATTATTTCAAGAAATGGCCCTTTGTTTCATAGTGTTGGGTCGACCCTTCCATCCTGTTTTTGCCGTTTCAAAGCTCCCTCTACTTTTAATTTGAGATCTTAAGTTTAATATTGACAAACAGATTTCTCGTCTACTTGACGTGGAATTGTGAAATGCCAGTGCTTAGGACACAAAACACTGGGTATCTTTTAGAGCCTTCAGTCTTTTCAGCAAAACTCTCAATATCCAGG